CTTTTTTAAAAAAATTTTTAAGTGTGTCAGGACCTATGCATGTTCCATCTGTCAGTTCATTTGATCTAGTCTTATTTCCATCATATACATTCAAGGCAACGAGTCTTTGGAAGTATAAACAATTTGCCCAAGGTCTCAAACTAATGTAGTTGGAGACTTTGGCACTTAGGTTCCAATAAGTGCTAGAACAAGGAGACAGAAATATCAGCAGGAGAGTAGGGTGATTTATACACCATCGACAACATAAGAGAAAATGGCAGATCAGTATCGATACATGAACATGTACAAACACTAAATCCTTCTGGAATTGCTACAAAGCACTGAGGGCAGAACTGAATCTTAGTCCTTTTTGCATTCTTCGTATTAGTTAAAGTACCTGAGATAAAGTAAATACTTGCTATTTACTTAAATGAATTGAATTAGAAAGTTGATTTATTTACCATTTATATTCTATACTGTAATAATGTGGTCATCTTTCCTCTTGCCTTTATTTCCAACCCTTTATTTAAGAAGTTGGTAAATGTTGGGAGTTTTATCTGAAGGATGGTTAAGTCCTGCTTAATTGAAGTCATTAAATGTCCCTATGAATATAGATAGTAAAACTAAAGTCACATAAATGAAGCTGTCTGAAGTATAGCCATAGTGATCTCTAAATGGAGATTAACAAAGAATTTTGACCTTTAAACTTCAAGACAGTTGAACCCTATAAGGTTAGTACTATATTTGGTATTTAGGGATACATTGCATTGTTAAATTATTTATTTAAAATGTGGCAAGGGCTAGAGATTTGGCTCAGTGGTTCCGCCATCTGCCTTGCAAGTGCAAGGGCCTGAGTTCAATCCCCAGTACCAAAAAACCAAAACAAAACAAAACAAACAACAACAAAAAATGTTGCATTAAATTGTGTGTAAGTACTCTGGGAGGTTGAGGTAGAAGCATTGATGATAAGTTCAAGCCCAGCCTGGACAACTTAATGATTTACCCAGATACTGTCTCAAAATAAATACATTTTTAAAGGGACTGGGGATTTAGCTTAAGTGCAGAAGCCTTGGGTTCAATCCATAGTACCACCACCACCACCACCACCCCGAATTGTGTGCATCACATTCTTTTATTGGCATTTAGCTAATATTTGTCAGATTTTGAAGATAAAATAATGCCAAAATTGAGTTCTTGTAAAATAAAAGCTTTTTGGATAGTCTACCTTTCCAAGAGGGCAAACACCTTATTTCATATAAAATCATTATTGTAATATATCATAAAAATGATAAATGTGCTTTTAGTAGAAAATAGTGCTTTTAGTGAAAAATATGAGTATACAATGAAGACAGTGTAGGTTTGAGATCTGCCTTAACAGCTGAGAGGTCTTAGGCAATTCAATTAAGTTCTTTTCTGCCATTACAATTCAATGCAGAGGGCAATATTTCTGCAGGATAAATTCTAAAAGTCAGATTATAGAGGTGCAAGGTAATTTTGATGTTGGAAATCACCCTTCCTGGGTAATGTTCAGACCAGCTGAGTATGAAGGCCCTTTTTCTCCACTCTCACTAGAGTATTACAAGGTTTTAAATATTTGACAATCCTTTAAATGGAAATGATAGCTCAATTACTGTGGAAATAAGAATTTCCATCTTCAGAGCCATTTGTATGCTTTTTCTTTTATCTTTTTTTTTTTTTTTAATGGTCTCATTATGTAGTTCAGGCCAGTTTTGAGGTCCAGGATGGACTCAAACTTGCAGTGATCCTTCTGCCTCAGCCTCCCGAGTGCTGGGATTACAGATGTGTGCCACCACGCCTGGCTAGTATGCTTTCCTGAGTTTTTAAACTTATTTTTCTCTTGGCTTTGTAATGTTTTAATTTGTTGGGAAGGGACATAAGAATGCGTGTGATAGAGAAGAGGGAGAGATTAGCCATTTGTGAGGTGAATTATGACTATTCTAATTTTTTAAACTTTATTTTTGAAGTAAGTGTAATTTATTAATATTTTATGGCTTCTAAATCATATGCCATGGATTATAAATTTTTCCACTACTTTAAAAAAATCTTTGGCTGAGGATTTAACTCAATGGCACTACACCTGCCTAATGCACACAAGGTTCTGAGTTCTATCCCTGGTACTGGGGGAAAAAATAAAATAAATTTTAAAATTTGAATTGTCAAACAGGAGGTCAATCTAAAAATGATCCAATAAGCTGCTTACCTCTTCCACCCATAAAATTAAGTTTGTTGCTTCTCCTTTAGTTTGTGTCATCTTTTAAAAACGCTACTTTTTTGAGTAATCCCCAACTTTAGAAACTTTTTATTCTAGAAATTGTATGTTAGTTGTGTGGAACTCAGACCATATATTTATATGTCCTAAACAGTGTAATGATGAGGTTTCCTAATATTATTTAAAGTACTCTGTTAAAACGTGTATAATTTAGGGACAAAAATGTACATTCCTCTATCTTATTAGGGCAATGGTGTAGAAGGGTTTGTCTTTGGTATCTTCACTGTCTTCCTCTTGCCTCTTTCTCTGATCTACAAAACCTAAGCACATAGTGATTTTGGGTAGTATTAGCCTTTCTCCCCTACCTCAGAAATGATTCAAGCTCTAAACATTTGTGTTCTCTCTTTCAAATTAGACAAATATCTGACCACAGGCAGATAGTAGTGTACCTTTAAGCCTATGTCCTTAGTTAACAAAACCTATGAAGTATTATACAAAAACTATTATATGATGCAACCAACAGATTCTGTGTGTGTATGGTACTGGGGATTGAACTCAGGGCCTTTGCAGTGAGCTACATTCTCAGTCCTTTATTTTTTATTTTTGAGACAAAATCTTGCTAAATTGTCCAGGTTGGGCTCAAATTTTTATCCTCCTGTTTCACCTTCCCAGAGAGCTACTATTATAGGTATGTGCCACCACACCCAGCATATAAAATCTTATACCCAAAAGTTATGCCACCCATTTAATTTTTGTGCAGTGCATTGTAAATGTAAACTTAGAGTGGCAATCTATAATAAAATTTTTCATTTTTAATAGTAGCAGAAATTTGACTTGTAGAAATTTCTTGATGGACTCCCAACCAGCCCCCTCTTCATATCCTTTACCTCATTGAGTTCTTGTAGTGATTTTTTTACAGTTTTGCTTTTGGCCTTTTTCCTTGCTAACTATATAGTTTTCTCAAAAGAAAAAGACTGCCAATAAAGCATTTTTTGCAAAGAAGTAATCATGTGACCTTTGCTGTACCAAGCATCATCTCACTAAAGAGAATACAGAGAGTGATTGGAGTGAGGCAAGACTGGAGATAAGGAGACCTATTTGAGTTTATATGGAGGGAAAGACAACTAAAGATTTGCGGGCTGGGTTGGAGATTTAGCCCAATGGTTCCATTGCCTGCCTCGCAAGTGTAAGATCCTGAGTTTGATCCCCAGGACCTAAAAAAGAAGGTATGTAGGCTAGAAATGATGTATATAAAAATCTTAGTTTTTTACATGTTATTAGTTGGTTGTGACCCCCCAAAGAAGGAAGGGAAGGTTTAGGGAAAAGATCTGCCCAGATTGTAGCTCCTGTCTTCAATAGCACTTGGCTTCTTTCTTTTGAACAACTAAGAAAAGTATGATGTATTCATGAAAAGAAATTTATTCCAGCAAACTTCATGTTAAGAACTTTGAAAAATACATCCCCAGAGTTTTATGCCTTTGTGTTGTGTATTTGCCATTCTAGGTTATAGTTTGAAGCTGTCTAATCTTACATAATTGGTACTGGTAAACAGTGATTACTCAAAAATAAAAGTTCATTAAAGTTTAGAATTATGATAAGCTATGTATGTGTGTCTTTGATGTTTTATTTTATCTTAGATATAGTGCCAAGACCTTTTAATTTATTTGGGTCTGCCAATCAGAGCAGTCCTTGAATAAAACCACATTCAGCACCCATGTTCCATATAGTCTCTAGTATCTGTTTCTTGTGAATGGATCAAGAACTTTATATTGAGTGTAAAATCATTCTATATTGCTTTTTTTAATCCCAGACTTTTATGGTCATCTCATCCATACATATTCAACATCAGCTTTTTATCTCCCTGAGGTATTCATTGTTATTAAAATTTTCAAAAATATTCAACTTAATTTTCATAGAAAGTGTTTACTCATATTTCCCTAGTTTATGTAATAAACTAATATAGATGATTTAATTACTAACGTGAGTACAGCTAGCATAAACAAGATGGAAATAAACACCACTGACTGACTGATTAGCCTAGAATTCAATAGGTGGGAGAAGTGAGATAGCCTTGAGCATCCTATTTGTCTTTGTCCTCAACTGAGTTTTATGAAGGAAAGAATAATGTTAAATTCAAATTGTGAGACAGTGAAAGTCAGCTAAAAAATTTCTATCAGGTAGTTGTGTGAAAATTGAGCTATGTTTGTGCTAATAAAAGGAATACAGATTTTTTGACTGGTTTAATTCTGGCTATCCCACTTGCTTTTGTGAGTTTTGACAAGTTAGACAATTTATCTCCAATCTTCAGTTTCATTGTCTTAATAGTAAAAGGAGTGTAATGACCTGATTATTATAGTTATTGTGTATATTAAATGAAACAACAAATGTTAAATGTCTCACCTGCACATTGTTTTTCTTGTCAGTAAGGTAGCATGTTATTTGTGTTCTGCAAATCCAACCCAATTATGATACAGTTAACTTGTATAGACTACTCTGTGCATCTTTTGCAGTAACTAATAAGAAAATAATGTGCCCAATGTCCGAGTTACAGCTTCCTAGTAGGGGGTAGTCTCTTCCTAGCTGAACACCACCAGACAAGTATATTTCTACATTTAGCAGCATTAGTGGGATATGGAAAGTTTTTATCATTTAGTGATGTTTTATGGTAAATAGCAAACTATTATTTAAAACTGTTCATTAGCAAACACTTAGTTTGACAAGAGCTTTCTATACTTTGATAAGTATCTTTGAAGTAGATATTGATACTTATACAATATTTTCCTTCTGACAGGTTGTAAAATTAAAGCACTGAGAGCCAAGACAAACACTTACATCAAGACACCTGTTCGTGGTGAAGAACCCATTTTTGTTGTCACTGGACGGAAAGAAGATGTTGCCATGGCCAAAAGAGAAATCCTCTCCGCTGCTGAGCACTTCTCCATGATTCGTGCATCTCGAAACAAAAATGGCCCTGCCCTAGGAGGACTGTCATGTAGTCCTAATCTGCCTGGTCAAACCACCGTCCAAGTCAGGGTACCCTATCGCGTGGTAGGATTAGTGGTTGGACCCAAAGGAGCAACAATTAAAAGAATTCAACAGCAGACCCATACATACATAGTAACTCCAAGCAGAGATAAGGAGCCTGTTTTTGAAGTGACCGGAATGCCTGAGAATGTTGACCGAGCAAGGGAAGAAATAGAAATGCATATTGCTATGCGTACAGGAAACTACATAGAGCTCAACGAAGAGAATGATTTCCATTACAATGGTACTGATGTAAGCTTTGAAGGGGGCACTCTTGGCTCTGCATGGCTCTCCTCTAATCCAGTTCCTCCTAGCCGTGCAAGGATGATATCCAATTATCGAAATGATAGTTCCAGTTCTCTAGGAAGTGGCTCCACAGATTCTTACTTTGGAAGCAATAGGCTTGCTGACTTTAGTCCAACAAGCCCCTTCAGCACAGGTAACTTTTGGTTTGGAGATACACTACCGTCTGTGGGCTCAGAAGATCTTGCAGTTGACTCTCCTGCCTTTGACTCTTTACCAACATCTGCTCAAACTATCTGGACTCCATTTGAACCAGTTAACCCACTCTCTGGCTTTGGGAGTGACCCTTCTGGTAACATGAAGACTCAGCGTAGAGGAAGTCAGCCATCTACTCCTCGTCTGTCTCCTACATTTCCTGAGAGCATAGAACACCCACTTGCTCGGAGGGTTAGGAGCGACCCACCTAGCACAGGCAACCATGTTGGCCTTCCAATATACATCCCTGCTTTTTCTAATGGTACCAATAGTTACTCCTCTTCCAATGGTGGTTCCACCTCTAGCTCACCTCCAGAATCAAGAAGAAAGCACGACTGTGTGATATGCTTTGAGAATGAAGTTATTGCTGCCCTAGTTCCATGTGGCCACAACCTCTTCTGCATGGAATGTGCCAACAAGATCTGTGAAAAGAGAACGCCATCATGTCCAGTTTGCCAGACAGCTGTTACTCAGGCAATCCAAATTCACTCTTAACTATATATATATATATATATATACATAAATACTATATCTCTATATGGACTCATAAAGGCATGGGTATAATGGTACCCCCAGTAAACTTCCTAATGAATTCTTATGACTGTTATCAGGCTTTATTGGGATTAGGCTAAAGTTGTTAGTAAACTTATAAAAGGCTGCTATGGTAACACTAAACCTAAGTGGTCTCTTGTCTGTTAGTTTGGTTTGAATTATTAATACTATCCTGTAGACCCAGAGACATAGCTTGTGTTAAGAATTGCTAAAGCTGAAGTTCAACTTGGCTGAGTGAAGATCGTAGGTTGTAGGATCTATGAGGAAAGTGTATATGTTTGAGATTCCAGACAGTGGGTCCCAAAGCCTAACCACATTAAGAGTTTATGGAGGGTACTTGGCATTACAGATGACTCAGACACTTCCAGTGCTGCCTTCTTTACACTGCCAGTTTTGACAAAACAGGTTTGTTTGTTTTTTTATTTTACAACAATGTATGCCTAATTCTGCAGGATCGCAAGTAACTTTTTAATGCATTGTGATTACTTATTGGTAATAGGGCTGATGGCAGTTTACTAGATCACTGGTTATAATTTGGGACAAAAACTGCTACATTGACTTCATCTCGCCCAGTGTGTTCAAGGCTGGTATGATCAGAGGATCAGGAATGCAATTGTCTCAATTGTGAATTCTTATCCATCGCCTCCCTTCGTGAATGTGGAAATGGCCACCTGGGTTTTCCCATTTCAGGAAGGGCTTTGAGATGGACCTTTATTGGCTGATAATTGAGGATGTGAACATTCCATTCATTAGTCTGATCAAGCTATTAGTTAATTTTTAGACTATAGAACAAAATGTGAAACATTTTATGTTCAGTCCATATTTGTCTTGCACATTATAAATATATTTTTATTTTTTAGTTATATAGGGGAGAGAAAGGAGACAATGCCCTTGGCATAGTTCACAAAAGCAGCTGTGACCTGCAATCAGTTTACTTCATTTCAAAACTGTTTCCAATCACAAGGAAAGATTTCTTTAAAATATACTTGTACATTTCACCTGTGGATGTCTATAACTTCATCCTCAGTATGTTCCCAAATATGTGCTGGCATTGAAAGGACAAAACATTATACTGGTGGGTTTTTCTACTAATTATTTTTTGAAGCATTATTTTCCCAACACAAAAGAGCTTTTTTTCTCAGTATAATGAAAATTGAAATCCTATGTGTATTCAATAGTAAATAGACAAATTTTATTTTTTATTTCCACTTGAAGAGTTACATTTCGTATAAAAGTTTACAAATAACGGTTTTTATTTTGATTTTTTTCAGTATAAAAAAGTTGCCTTGATGGCATATTATGATGTAATGCTAATTGCTTGTAGGATAGTTAAATGTCAGTATTGAAACCTAATCTCTAGCTGCCGTCTTGTAGATATGAACGAATGTTCACCAAGCATGTATTTTGTATTGTTGCATTGTACACTGCAACTAATAAGCCAAGGAATCGACATATATTAGGTGCGTGTACTGTTTCTAAAAACCACAAACTAAGAATGATAAATTATCAATATAGTTTAGTATTTGCTAATTTTACTACACTCTTTTGTTATGTATATGTAGGGAAGTCATAGGGATTATAAATTCAATTTGAGTAAAGTTTAAAACCATATATTTTATGATAAAGGGCCTTTAACTTAAGATGGCCAAAGCACTGATATTATATATTTGCTGTAAAGAGAATTATAAGAGTTTTATTTTTCTGATATTAAAAGTTACTTAATAAAGACTTGTTTCCATTAACTTGAATGTATTCTCCTTGGTGTTTTTCATATGACCATTAGCAGTTTATCTTAAAGGAATGAGAGGTACTTAAAATTAAAAGTTTCCTATTGCCAAGTTATCCCACTCCTCAGTTCACACCTTTCTTGTTGTGACTTTCTCTTTTCTTTTTATTGTTGTTGTGACTTTTTAGTGTGCTCTTGTGTTGAACGTGTCATTTATGTTCCAATCCAGATTTGGTTTTAGTAAATTGGAGTTGGAGCTGGTTTTAGATTTGGTTGCATGTTTGTACAGTTGACCACAAATAATCACTACTGATCTGGTTGTCATAAAATAGTAGATGACTATTTTATACACTGTCAATTGAATCCTGATTTTCATTTAGGTTCCATTTATTTATAGCCTTTGTTTATGGAATTTTTTTCCTTAACCACCAAATCTATAAAATTAATTATTTTCTAATATGAAAGTACAAATTTTAAACTTTCAAATAAAACTGCTTTCTGAAAGGTTTTGTGGTTAACAAAATAATTACTCTATTTATTAAATTGATTGGAGTAAATTGTTGCCCTTCAGTTGAAAGGAATAGACATTTCTAAGATCATTTTAAAGAAATTAAATTTATTCATTCTTAATTCTTAGAAGTATCACCCAGCCAGAGTAAGTCATAATTTATAGACAAACTCAGGCTGTGCTGAAAGACTGGAGTGTGTGGATTTAGTGGTGAGTGATATCGTCCTAGAATTACATGCCTGAATTACTCACTGATTTTAAGATTTGCCTCTAGAAGTATGAAAGTTTAATTATTTGAATGTGTTATGGAATATAATTTCAGTTTAGATTGGATGACCCGTAAAAGGAGCTTATTAATAATAAAAGGTCAGAGTCTTCCTTCCAGGGCACCTTGAAAATAATCCACTTTTAAAGGCTTTCCTTGACATTGTTATCCAAAACTTTGTCTAGAACCAGCCTTAGCAAAACTGGTAAGAACTTACCCTAGATCATTTTGTACCTGCTTTTCCTTGATTCCACATGAACTGTCTTGTTTATAAAGCACTGAAGAAGAGAGCCTTCCAGAACTCTGGACCTGTGTTACCAGGAACAGCTATTTGGATAAACTGCAGCGTGGATAATTAGGATTCAGAATACATGTTGGGGAGGACTTTATTCTGTTTTCAGGGAGGGTAGATGCTCACCTGAAATGTTTGGTTCACCTAGCAATTTAGTTGTAAAATTATGTAGTGGTTTCTCTAAAGGATTTTATCAGAAGAATTCCCCATGCAAAGTAAGTTTTTAGGAAGAGTAAAGACAGCTAAAATAATTGAATTCAGAAAATAGATAAAAATAATTATAATAAATGTGTTATTACAGGTTAAATTATTGTGTTCAATGGATTTGTTATCCTAAAACCAGACCCTGGTTTTCTCTGGTACCTACCCCACTTCCTCTTATATTTCTAGTTCTCTCATCCTAAAACTGTATAAATACTAGGGGTTAAAGATGTTTATAATATATTGTGAACATCTTTTTCATGTTAGTATATATAACCTTGGTTTGTGAGAATTTGTTCTGTTCATAGTCCAAAGTACTCGTATATCAAAACAGAGAAAAAAACAGTTGTTATCCTGTAACATTTGGCATGATGAACTATTTGTATAGCAAGCTATCACTGTTTATCAAGTTAGCATTTCTTAGAAATATTTGCTCATCTTGCAGAACACTCATGGACCAAGTAACAATGTAAGGTTTATACTTAAATTTGATGATTTTGGAAGTATTTTTTGGTAGCTATTCCATAATTCAGCCATTTAGTGATTAAGTAAATACGGACAGTGGAACACTGATAAAATACAGGAAGGGACATTTAGAAGGCTGATGAGATTCCATTTAGCAGAGCCTAAGAATAGCTGTTGTCTTTAAGTGGTACAGCTTTACACTTCATATCCCATACTAGTTATTCATTAAGTTTCTTCAGCTGACCAGGTGGAATCAAAGAATGTCTTGCCACTGAAATACATATTTCTACTGCCTCCATATTATTTTATCTTTCTGTTTTCACTTTAAAGTACACCATTTGTACAGTGCAAGTTGAATAGGAAGAATGAGTGGTCATATATTTGAAGTAGTAGAATTCATTGCTCAGAGATGAGTCTGGGAGGCAAAAGAGGAAAACAGCTAAAGAGAAACCACATAATTCTAAGCCCTTGGGTTTTTTAGAGCCTCATTCATAAGTCTCATGATGAGGATATTTGTAACCAAATTGAGTCCAGAACAGTTTGCTGCTGCCTTTGAACATGTTTAAAATTATATATCTTTGAACTTTGTAATGACATGTACATAAATAATTTTAGAAGGCTTAAGAAGGAACATAGCTGAATTCACAACAATCTGAAAACTGGCTTAGTAACAAAAAACTTGTTAAAGCAATAAAATAGGGTCATTATATAAATTTCATTTCCTACCCACAATATTTCAGTGTGTACTCCATGCTTCTAGCAATGTTACATAGTTTACTGCACATATATTACTATTGAACATCAGAAAGGTTCATTTCCTCGACCTAAGTCATTGTCAAAGTCTGCACAAGACCTCAAAATATAAGGTGACCTTAGCTGTAGAGACAGAAGGTTCTGTTGAATTAGAAAGTTCTCAGATAAGTTAAAAATAGCCTGTCTTCAGAAAATGAACCTTTGAGTTTTCTTTTGTGATCCTAAAACTATGAGTAATTATTTTAAATTGGAAGTTAAATTGTAGGTATTCCCCTGTGCTAACCACCGAGGCTCATATTTGTTTTGTGACACTCCTCAATATCAAAATCAATGAAACTTAGATCCAATCTGTTCCTGCAATTTCAGGGGGTGATTACCACAGCATTACAGTGAAACGCAAAAGAAGTAGTGATTTTTAAGTCAACTTCAGTCAGATAGGAAGTACTGAATGACCTATGGAAACTACGAGAAATTGTAGATAACTAATTTTAAAGATAAAACTGGTGAGCTAAAATTTTTTTAATAGTTGAAGGAACTTCTGGGTTTAATACTGCACATTTGTAAGTTATCTACATGGAAAGTCAGATTTATTAGATGATAATCATTAAGAAAATATGATAATAGTTAAGAAATGGCCATACCTATTAAAATGTTCTTAATAATTTCTTATAAAGTAAAATTTTCTGAAGAACCATTAAAAACAAAAATTGGGAAAATAGGCTAATTTCCATGTTTGTGGAGACTGCAGAAACTTAATTGTGTAGGTGTCTGAAATACCCTGTACTACCTTGATAAAGACCTTTCTACATATCCAGGTTACTGATTAAAAACCAAGACTAGACTGTAAATGGGTTCTTGGCTGTGTTTGGATTTTATAGCAGCTTTCCTACTCTATATATTACTGAATTGAAACTTGGCACATTTGTTGTCATCCAGTGGTGTTGCTTCTTAATTCTGGAAGCTCTGTTTAACCTAGAGGCAAGGAAGGCCTTCCTAGGTTTATATCTTTTCAGTGAATGGAAGATGATTGTCCAGATTCATCTTTGAGCTGCTATCTCATTTGAACTTAAGAAAGTAGACTCCAAAAATGTGCTTTTCCTCTCCTGAACTTCATGTAAACCAGTAAGAGATCAGGATCATATTTTGTTTTGCTTCCCAGCAGGCGATTTTCAGTTCTTTTTGTAAAACACATCCTCATGTCAAAGACTATTTGTGATCAAATATTGCAGCAGTGGTCTCTCTTTTACTAGTAACTGTTTAGGAACTTAGCAACTTTATTTTATTGTAACTAGTAACTTTATTTTCATTGATAATTTCTTTAATCTTCCCCAGGAGTAGCATTCTGCTATCCCACCTCCACCACCATTTGAACATGCATAACTTGTTCCCAGACAGAAGATGAAATCATTTGAACCCCATGTCTCTCTCACTGAGGTCTTAAATCCAAGTAGACTACTGAAAGGAACTGTCACCTTTTGGTGTGCATCTGATTTTTCAGTCATTTCCCAGGCTTTCCCAAACTTGGTGATTTATCCTAGGATACTGGTCCTGGGCTAGGGCCACACATCTTCCAAGTCACATCAGTTGTAAGATTTCATTACTTTTCAGCTTCAGCTTCCATTACAATTCAAATTCTCTCTCTTCCTGCCTTCATTTAGAGGGTATCTGATTCCACATTTGGCAGATTTTACACTTGAATCCTTCTTTATCCATGAAATGGAAATAATTGCCTCTGAGGAATGTGTAAGAAACTAAGGCCTAGAGATGCTATGAAGTAACTAATTTGCTCTCCTAGGTAGCATCTCCTAGGTAGCTCATCCTAGGTAGGTTCTTTTAAAAACCCAGCATGATCCTGAAAAATAATTCTTGGAAGTGCTGCTGAAGAGCAGTATAAAGTAAAAGTAAAAGGCCTTCAGATTTTGGAACACTTTAGTTGTGTGACCCAGTTAGCACAAAGTAAATGCAGGTACATAAATTATTTAATATTTACCCAAACTCTAGGGTGCAGGGACTACTACTGTTTTAGAGAATAAAGCTGAAGCTTTACTTGGCTTAGGACCGAGGATTTAGTTCAGTAGTGCCACCACCTGCCTCGCCAAGCACAAGGGCCCAAGTTCGATCCCTGGTACCAAAAAAAAGTTTTCTTGGCTTAAGGTTAAAACAATGTGTAAGTCTAAATGCATTTTCAGAAGACCATAGGAAATGTCTCATTTGTTGCTTACAACTATAAGCATTTTTCTTTGAACTCATTGGTTCTCTTGATTCATGGCTCTACCAACTAAAAGATTTCAGTATCTCTCTCTAATATCATAGGGTTAATTTGTATCCTCAGACTTCCATGACTACAAAAGGTCTGGACTAAATTAAGGAGCCCATTCATGTTTCAGAATTGATTATGGGCTCATCATGTATTAAAGTGTTCTGCCAAGTAAATGAAATTGTCACAATTAGCCCAAA